ATATCATTGCCATTTCAGCATTGTTTGCTTTCAGTAGTACCACCCCCACCACTCCTCACCCCCAAAAAATACAACAAAAAAACCCACCCCTCTACCATCTGTGTGATTTATCACGTACCGAAGCAAATTGTTACTCCCTCACAAAAATCACAGTCAGAGAAGTCATTAGTCAATTCCCTCACCACCTACCATTTCTCACATTAAATGGAGCACATTTGTGATCCTAAGCAATCAAGTTTCTAAGGCAGAGAGCTAAAATTTGCTATTAGAATAGCCACAGGCCTTTCCTTCCTTCCTTCCTTCCTTCCTCCCACCCACCCAGAGCCTTTAAGGGAAACAGTTCTAGCTCACTTGGGAACAGAGGGAAACACCCCACGTTCAGCAAACCGAGCTCAGGCACATCACTCGACAGAAATTCCTTCTGGAGCCAGGCACACATGCACCAACACCACTTGGTACATACACGTTTGCACCCCAGCTGATCTTGCCCTGTTATTGGAACAAATGAAACCATTCTAATTAGAGAAATGTGAGCAAAATTTGTCAAAAGACTATTTCAGAAGTTAAGAGGTCTGAAAGCCAAAGCATGCTAAAATTCTCCAAAAGAGAAATTGCTGACCTGTCTCTAAGTGAGCTCACCCCGCTAGCCTCCTGCGGAAAGCAGCAGAAGCTGTCAAAGGATTCAGCAATTAAGAAAACAAGGTACCTAGGTGTATTCACAGTTCTGGCAACATTATGATTAATTTAACCTCCTCAAACTGTGTCCGCTGTGCTCAGACTATTATTTATTCCCCTTCAGCTTGAAAGACTTGTAGCTCTACAGATCCCCCCTCCTGGAGATGAGGAGGGGTGGGAAGCAACTCACTGCAGCCACCAATGTGCTGGTCTGGAGCTTATAGGATAAAAAAGACTTCCCATACTAACCTGAAGATACAGGTTTTACATCCTCTTCACCAAAGTCAGTACCTAATTACCTTGACTAGCCCAAGCTTACATGTGCTACATCTTGGCAACATTCTCATCTCCTAAAAAGGATGACACCCGGTATCCACACCCCAGGATCAGGACAGAACAAATCCTCCTGCTATCTTGCTAGTTATCTTTGCTTGCTTTTCTAAAACAAAACCAAAACCTCTGTATAATAAACGTATTTTGCTTATTTTTTATTCACAATGTATCTCAAGTCCTAAATAATCAGAAGGAAAGTTAAAGAGCTTTGCACACTCACAACAGCAAACCTTGGCCAGCTCATTTTCCAAATAAGAATACAGATCCAACCAACCACGCATCAGTCACATTGCTTGCAAGGACTTAACGTACACTAATGAACAGCAGACTTCATTAAAATGTAGTTTTAAGTTCAGCAATACGACAGAATGATCTATTGAAGGAGGAAAGGGAGAGGATTGAAACTGCAGACTCAGTTATTTCTTGCTACTCACCACTAAGAAGGTAATATAAATTAAAAATCAATACAGCAGGATAGTGCAAGACAAATGCTAATGTCCATGAAGAGATGATGCGTTAGACCCATCATCCCCATGCTGCCAGGTACACAACTGTAATTCTGCAGGACTGGAGAGGACAGGGATGAGCTGCTTTCCACAGCAGAGGCAGAATTTGCATCAGCTTCCCCTCTGCACTCAGTTTCCTATTCCCTCATGCCCAAATCATCATCTTCTTGTGTAGATGGGACTGGTACCAACTTTGAATTTATTTAAGGGATGAAGCCTGTCACAGAGCTACTCCAGCTATTTGCTTCTGCCATTAAGAACGACTATACAGTGAATGGGAAGACATTTATATTATTTCATCGTAAGCATCATATCCTAGATTATTTTCAAGGCTACTGATGATTCCAGTAATCTTGGTCAGTCAAAATCCTCATACCAGCCTCAGGAGGAAAGCTGAAAATGAATTCAAAGGATCTGATATGAGACACTAGCCACACACCATGTAAGAGCAGTTTTTCTATTCTTCAAACTTGACCTCAGCAATGCCTGTTGAAGTTATTGTGCAAAAATCAGTATGAAAATAGTATATAAATCTCTTGGACAAAAAAAGGTTTTACTCACAGGTGCTTAGTATAAAGTTACATTTTGACAAATTCATTACACAGTTGCACTTACCACAAGGAGGAAGGAAAATTGGTGCCACGCAGCTGAGAGAGATTCGTTCTTCTATATGACCAATTTAGGTACATTTAAAATGCAGAAATTTCACCATCATGGCAACTTGGAAAATATTACTGAAGGCGACTTGACACATACTATTAAAACTGGATTCATACCCTTTTATTTTTTAATTGCACTAGTTAGGGAGATTATAAAAAATAATCATATCACTTTTATATTCAAAAATATAAATCTTCTTTCAGTTCAGTAGCACATTTCTCATAAGCATATGTATGCTTATTCTTCTATCAAAAAGGTAGCTACAAATACTTAACCTTCAAAGTGTTTAACTGAATTAAGCATGTATTTATTTTAATTTTTAAAAAAATAAATACCACATGTCTGTCAGTAACTCCTCACCCATGGAATTCATCCCTAAATCCAAACTTGTTACTCCTTCAACACAGGCAACTATCTTTGCACGCAAACGTAAAGACTACTACTACTCCAACTACTTCATACCAACCTGAACATTTAATACATATTCCTTTAGAGAAATCTGAGTGAATTTATTGTATAAAATTATGATTGGCATGGTACAGAAAAGTTCCTTTTAATGCACTTTTCCCATTAACTTGTACACAAATATTACAAGTATCAAGCAAAATGCAAAAGTCTTAAGAACTAATTCCATACTACAAAAGTGTTCACATAGTGAAGTTACTCTGGTTACAAAATGTCATGGAAATAAAAGCACTTCAAAATACATATTTGGGAAATGTTCTCGAATAATCAACACAACCTTAAGTTAGTTTAAAAATGCAAAGAAAGAGATACCCTCTTCAAAACATTATTGTTGATTTGGCAAATTGGAGCAAAGTTCAGATCAGTTCATTTTTTGAAGGATTGTTCTTTCCAAGAAACAAAAAAAAAAATTAAAAAATCTTTAGTTAAGAAAGGGTTCAATTATACTATGATGACAAATAACGCCATCAAAAAGTTATCTGGCTCTCTTGTTTTCATACAGGAGCTGTCAGAGGCAGAGATGTGTAAATTAACACCTTCAGGTATATACAGATTGCCTTTTCAATAACAAACCAACCAACAAAAAAAACCCCAAAACCCAAAACAACAAAAAGGAGACAATCTGAACTTTGTTGTTTCATTTAACTAGTTCAGTTCCTTAGGTCACAAGACCCAAGACAGTGGTCTGCAAAGGATACATCTTTAAAGACCAAAACCAAACTTCCACTGCCAAGGAATGCCTAGATGCCACGTTATGAGTACCGCACACCCTCACAGTACGACTGTCAGAGGCTATCAGATCTATGCTTCCCAATGACCTTGAAGACCTGCTATTCTCAACAAGACAAAAATGCTTGAACCCAACAGCCTTACAAAAATGAGGCCCAGTCATACTGTTAGAAAATAACACAAAATCTTAAAGACCGAAAGCATCCTTAAAAACTTACACAAAATGACTACAAAAAAAGCAATACATTACACTATTTTTGTATCAGATGACTTGCCTGTGTTTGAGCAATTGAATGTTGGTAGGTAGATCTACATGAAACTCACACATACAAGACATCATGTCCAGGTATTATTGTTTTCCTTTTACACACACAAGTTACTATTGGGTTATCCAGTCTACTCAAACGCAGTGAGAAACAGCCCACAGCACACATAAAAGGAGCATTATCCAATACAGTGTTGCAAAAATGGAGTCAGAATACCTGAGTCTCAGAGACATTACTGTCCTCCTCCATTACTGGATTATTTACTTTTCCAAGGAGAACCTCTAGTTTCCATTTCTTCACTCTGATGAAATTTATAATAGATTTTGTCTTTTTAAAAATTTAAAACTTTTAGGAAAAAAAAATGCCAAAGTGAATTTTTAAAGCTTTTTAAAGGGAGGGGGGAATTCACTTACAAAATAAAGGCCACCTTCATGTAAAACTGGTACTGCCAGTATCCCATCATTTTGTTTAAACGAGAGATTTAGCTCCCTGTTCTAGAAGCCTTATTACATGCAGTCATGCAAGTTGAAAAACTCCATCCTTTTAACAATTAAAAATATTATAAATAGGACTAACGTGGAACAGCCCTTTGTTACAATCACCAAGGTGGTAAAACCAATGCAACAATTAGGTCATGAAGTCTCCTTTAAGTAGCCACTGCAATCTATTTAGAACTTCTGTATTTTCCCTTTTACTTTGCATATTACACAGTGTAACTTAAAATGTTATTTAAGAGCACTTCAGTCCCACAAGGTAGGATTTAAGCTTGTGTGTATACATATGCATGGCTCTGCAACATTTTTAATGACTTACAAAAATACATTCAACCAAAACTTTATACAGGGTTCTCGCCTTTTTTTTTTTTTAAATCAAAAATTAAGGAAAAGCCAAATGGTCCCATCATTGGCTAAATAATACACTCCAAGTTCTGGAAGCAATTCCAAAGCAAAAGCACATTCAAGAATAACATATATTGAATTGCATACTTCTTCATTCATCTTTATCAGTAATAAAATTCTACTGCATATAATTATTCAGCCTCATAAATAATGCTAAGCAGAAAAATATTGACCTCTGTGATACTTTCCTCAGTTTATAGAAGCATTTCTCAGTCTATAGGAGCAAAGGAAAAAAACCTAAAGTGCAGACTACAGGCCATGACAGGCATAATAAATGACCAAAGGTGCAGACAAATTTGCATTTACATCTTAAGTTACTTCACCACCTTTCTCTTCTTCCTAGAAGTCACCATGTGTGCAACTGAAGAGCTGGTCGGTTGGTTTGTGCCACAGTACAACCTGTAACCACTTTAATTTATTTTTTTTAAAACTAGTTGAGTTGTCCATAGATATTTCCAGGCAATAGCTTAGGTTCACAAAACCTTACTTTATTAATACTTGAAATCACACAATATTGACACCTCCTCCAGAGAATGCTACTGTCCTTTTATTGCAGTATGTGGTTGAACCACTGATGCTCGGTTGACTGTCTTTAACAAGCGACGTCTTCATTTCCATTTCACACGCTACAATAGCTGCATTCAGTTCCACTTGAGCTCGATGAACAACATAAAACATGAGTCCTATGCTTAGGACAATCTGCAAAGAAAACAAAGGTGTGTTGTAGGCTACATAAACTGCAAGCATGAATACAAAGCAATTGTTCTGAACAAAACAAAAAGTTATTGATGCAAAGATTCATGGAGGCATCTGTTGACTCAATGCTTCACAGGCAAGACAGTAGAAGGGAGATTAACTTAACCAATGAGTGGCGCTAAACCTCCGTATGCTAACAACATAACTAGCATATCAAACATAGACATTAGCTAGAACTTAAATATTTATATGAATTGAAAAGATATTTTCTTTCTTTGCGTTGCCGTCCATACACTTGCTAGAAAGCAATCCCTTGCCACTTTATCTCTTGGCAAACACGTCTCCACAAAGAAACAGTGTGGTGTATTTCCGTAAGTACAAAGGGCTGTTTTCCATGTACCAAGTGAATAATAGGTTGAAATTGTACTGGGCGTCTGCAACTTGCAAAACAGCAGAGCCAGGGGGCGATGCAGAGGAAAGGAAATAAAACTTCTTGTCCTTGCCCCTCTGCTGTGGATGATAGAGAGAACAGCAGTGTCACTGCCTCTCAGATATCAGGACTAAACAGGACAGAATCCGACTTTCTAAGCAACTTAAAGTAGTCTGTATGAGAACAACTTAGTTTCTGAAGGACGGCTCAGGGAGGGGACAGGATGTTGTTGGTGTGCGATCTTCTGTTTGTTTGTTTTAAGAAGGAAATATTGTCCAAAACTAGGGGTTTAGTTCAGGTTTTTGCTCTGAATTTTATTGCTAAGAATTTTTAAACTTTCACCACAAAAAAATATCAGGAATAAACCTGGACAGTTTTTGCTAAGAAATTACTCAGAAATTACAAATTCAATGACATTGTCACGCACTGCACCCCTAAAACACCAGCTAAGTTTTCGGCTGAGATACTCCTTAAGAAAAAATAAAATCTTCAAACAAAAATCAAGCTCACAGGGGGAGTCCCTTTCAAAGAAGTAAACTCCTCTGCCTTTTTAAAGAATGTTTTATGAAACCAGCTGGAATCTGCAACTGCCTTTCGAAAAACCAAAAATGGTATAACATTTACAGCAGAACCTGAAGTTTTGAGTCCAAAATCAGAACTTCATTATTAATTGGTAGGGTTATGTTTTCTTTAACATTAAGGACTATCACTTAATACATCTGTCAGCATGGCATAACGGATGCTAGAATATCACTGAGTAAGAAGATTGACAAGTATGGTCACAGGATAATTGTGGCTGGACTTGCTCAGAGTAGGGCTGGCTCCGAGATCAGACCAGGTTGCTCAGGGCTTTTGTGCAGTCAGGTCTTGAAAACTCCCAAGGACAGAGATTTCACCACCTCTCTGGACCTGTTCCCCTGCTTGACTATCCTTGCGGTGAAAAAGATATTCCTCACTAATTCAAATTATACATTTCAAAAGGTGGCCAATATAAGAATCTTTTAAAAAGAGACTATGGACACCAAGATCTGAATATACAGGAAAAATCCTATTCTAAAAGCTTACCCCAAAATTTAAATTTGACTGGTTTTAGAAATATTACTCCCAATAGCCTAGTTCCCTAGATGAGTAATTTAAAGAAAAAAAATACATACACACAGACAACCGCAAAATGTGAAGGATTTTTAGTGTTATTTACTAAAAGTCCCATTGAAGCCCAGCCAGAGAAAGCACCAGGCAGAGAAGCCTGAGAGACAGGGGGAGAACATAAGCAATTCCCCCACTAACAGGCTCCCCTTCACTTATTCAGTCAGCTCCCAAGGATTGCTCTCAAGGAGGTGACCACTCCTGTCCAAACATTCAGCCTCTCCGAGCTAGTGCTTCCCTGAGCTACAGTTACGCTACAACCTATACAATCTACAAAGGAGTAAATGCTGTTTTAAAAAAACAAAACATTAATGGAAAAAAAAAAAAAAAAGGGGAAAAGACCACTAAAAACTACTACCCTGGAAATAACATTTCATGACTAAAATGGAAACTGATCAAGTAACCACTTATTTTCTTTGATCTATTGAGGCTATTTACCCCACATTTACAAAGGCACTTTTAACACTCATAAACCTGTTCTATGAAGCCTATAAATTATATGTTTTATTTGAGAACACAAAAGTTTCAGGGGTGGGTGTTGTTTAAAATGGCCCTAGATTCAGTTTTATATCTTAGCACTGTCAAAAATCAGCTTTATGATTGTAAAAACTGAGGAACATAAATGACTGCATTACCAACTGAAAGCCTGCAAACCTCAGTGACTGCTGGTCAAACACAGCCTGAAGTCCCAACACTGCCAGAGGAGGGTTTAGTACATTACCTGTTTCTGAAATACTCATGACATCTACGTTGAGGCTAACCTCCAAGATTTATTGGCAAATCATTTAATCTGCTAAACTCTTGTAAAGATACTATATACTTCTCATTAATTTATTCACTTGCAAAATTAGGATATGCTGATTTAGGCATTAGCAAAACGGTATTTCTATAGCACTTTTCATCCTTTAATACCTTTGCAAAATCAAGAGTGTTCAGTGCTAACACGGAACATTGCACAGGTTTATGCACCCTGAGCACACTACTTCACAGCTGGTGGCACATGGGCTTTTTGTGTAGATGTGGTTTGATAAATCTACAATCAGCAGATTACCACAGAGGGCAAGAGAAGAAAATTTGACAAAACTGTGGCAGAAAAAGAGAACACTGAGTAAGTTCTGCTTTGTGTCACATGAGGTATGCGAGAATTAAACTTTTCTAACAGAAGAAAACAAAATCAAAATAAAATAGTACACTGGAAACCCAGTTCTCTGTGCATTTAGCAGCCAATAAGCCTCAGTTTTACACAATCTACTGAAAATACCAATAACAGAGTTATAAATTAAACACTTTTTAAAACCTGCTACTTTTCGATACCACATGCCATGCTTCCTTAATGCTCAGGCCACCTCAGACTAGGGAGCTGTTATGCCAACAGAGAGCAGCTCCTAACTCCCGAGACGTGCATTCCCCCAAACCTCCTGCAGCCCATTCCTTTTACACGGGAGGCTGTGCAGTCTAAAAGAGAAATCAGCAATGCTGAATCTCTCTCCATTTCATATGCATTCCTACAGGCATGCAGTTTCCAAAGCAAAGATTCAATGACTCGAAGAGACAAAGCTACAGGAAGGAAATTTGCTTACTGTATCGAGAAGCAAAGTCCTGCCTCGAATCCCACTGGTACAGCAGATGAGCAAGAAATTAGGGGGATAGAGAAACAAACTCCAACACAAGAAGATGGCTGTTTCCAAAAGTAATTGCTTACCCAAGCAAAGAGACTGAAGTTACTGTTACCAAGGTCTACAAGAGCAATTATTTTATCTTACCTGTAAACTGAATATAAAATAGCCACTAACACTTTGTTTTGCAATCACATCCTCCATGGTACGCAACGTAGTACCCAAGTATGAGTTCAGGAGCTGAGTAGGAAGCAGCCCAACTGAAGAAGCCATCAGGTAATTGGGCAGTGGCAAATCTGTAATCTAAGTAAAAGAAAGCGTAAGAAACCAAGCACAGCTCCAACACAATCTATGTGCATAAAAAAAAACAGACTGCCACTCCCACAAGCATCTGCACACACAAAAGAAGAAATAATTTCTTACATTCCTTCACTGAAACTTCCCACTGTGCGTGAATCTAAGATAACATAATAAAACAGTATCTGGCTAGTTTTCATCTGGCCTTTTTAAAGTTACTAGGTTTTGTTTAACTTCATCTTACACTATGCAACATCTCTGTGCTAAAGTCATTAATTAAGGATGCAATTACACTGTTCATTGAAGATGTTGGTTTCTTCATAGGGAACGGAGCCCTACAATTTATAAGAATTTGCTCACAAGAAGAAATTACTTTATTAATGTGAAGGTCTAAGGCAAAAAATCTATTTGCTTTGCATTTTACATGTATGGCAATTAATAAAAGTGGTAGTTGTTCAAAATGTCACTGTACTAAATATGATCTCCGTAAACAGAACGGCAGATACAATTTGTCTCTGCAAGGGAAGTTACGTACTCCTTTACACACGTGTATCTACCAGTGATCTCTACCAGCAGTATCTATCTATACCAGTGGCATATGTGGGTAAGATTCTCTACCAAAGTTATTTTACCCCACACTTTAATTAGTGAACAAAAGTAACACAGGGCTATAGCTTTTGTTAGTTTCTCTGGAAAAAACACTAATAATACTTCAAGATATTTTCTTCTCTTTGCTGTGTAATTTCTGTTCTTAGTCAATATGTGAACAGTTTACATGGGAACAAAGTACACAGTACTAGCAAAATGAGTATCAGCAACCATTAGGAAATATTAAATGCAAGAGCCAAGAAGCCAAAAAAATATTTACGCAAGAAAAATGAAACAGGAGGAAACTATGGGTCAAAAATGAGTATGAAAAGGGCAATTTTGAAACAAGCAGTCTAAGGAATTTTTTAGACAATTCAGTTGATCACATTGCAATAAAACAAGTTCTAATTAAGAACAGTCCCTAACACTGGGAGCCTACATGGAAATTACTGACCTTGGCAGTTTTGAACAATGTCGAAGACAAGAGAATAGCAGCAAAGTTACTCATTTCATCATGTTATTCTTAAAATAAACTTTGGTTACTATGAAAGTCACAGTGCTGAATTCTCAGAGCTCTAAGCACCATCAGTGGAAAGTTTCTGGGAGGAAGGAAGGGCAATAGAGATGGTGAATGCAATGAAGCATAAAGATTAAGAATAATTCACTGGAACAAGATCCAATAAGACAATTCCAAACTTCACACTTCAAATCACACTTCCCACAGACTGAAATACATGTGAGCAACAGAAAAAATGCATTACCCTCTCTATACAGGATTAATTTAGATATCTAATGAAAAAGCACTATACAATTATGTCAGGACTTCATATTTGACCAATGCTTTGAAAAGACTTTTTTTTTTCCTTTTAATTTTAAACACTATCGTAATTTGGGCCATGTAATAAGAACGCACCACCAAACCTTCCCATATTGCCAAGGGAATGACGGAACTGCTATTAAAAGTCTCTGAAATACTAATGCTGAGGCAAGATTTGCTAAGTAGGACAGTCATTACATCTAATGGAGCTGGGAAACTTCCCAAAGATTGTCCTAACACTCCTGGGCACCTCTTTCATTTCTCTATACGTATTAAGGACACTTCAGTTGCAGAGCAAGACATCTGCGTGTCTTGATCTGTCCTGAAGAGACTGGAACTCCTGGGCCATGACAGAGACTGTTTCCAAAGGAAAGGGAGGCTCCCAATGGATACGCTGGATTGCGACTTGTGTCTCCCACTAAAATGAAAGCTAAGGAGAGGAAGGGAAAAGATTTTGCAGGTACCCTTTTAACTCCTGGTTTGCAAGGTTCAGACCTGCAGTGGTACCCCTTTCCCCAGAAGTCACAGGAAGCGGACAGTGTCCCTGCATAAGAAACCCGAGAAATTTCCAATGAAACTTACAGCTTTATGTATCTTTCCTTCTATGAACTTTACCCATTCTAGAAACCTGCCAGACTGGGGTTTGCATGGCCAAGCTGACAAACAGAGGCTACCAGAACTGTTTCTACTGAAAGCTCAAGCCAGCAAAAATCAACAGTTAAATCCCAAAGTAAGCATGGATGTTATTGTTTTATGGGCTTTAGCAACCTATTTAAATAAAATCACCAACCACCTAACTGCTCTGCTAACAAAAGCATTAGCCAGAAAATCTCCCACAAAGCCTTGGACTGGCTTTGTTTGGTAGAACTTTTGTGTATTCTTTGCAACTGATATCTTTGGTTCAGTTGTGTCAAATAAATAAACGCTTACATCAGGACTTTGTTGGGGGCTCACATGCCTTTGGGGATCGCAGCAGATTTCTCTCCCCAGATCAGGTAGGCTTAGCAACCCAGAGCAAAGGACTATACTGATGCTCTTTACTTTCTCAAAACAAAACACCAGGTAGGGAATAAAAAAACAAAAGAAAATAACAGCTAGATCAACTTTCCAACAAGCAGAGTAAGTAGCCTGCATGTTCCTGCAAAGCTCTGATTTCACTTCCTGCAACCAAAGATGCACACTTGGACAGATTATTTTTCCATACAATACTCCTCTCAGGAGAAAGAAAAAATACAAATTCTGATCTAAGCTACACCTGGCACTACAAATAACCAGTTTGCACAAACCTGGCTCCAGGGACCCAGTATTGGGAAGGAGGTGATAACATGCATACCAGCCCTGCCTGCAGAACACTTGGAGCCACCAGGGGAGAGGGCTGCGCATGGGCAAACACTTCAGTAAGAGCTAGCAGGCCACCCTGGCATCACAGGAGTGACAATTAAGCAAAACCCACTCAAAGAGAAATATAAACATGCTTTCAGTAAAGAAGCTTCTAGGTCTTCCAGTAAGGCAAGTAAAGGCATTACCCCACTGCTCCTACCATCAGTGTTTTCCCAAAGAGCACCAGAATGAGCTTAAGAAGCAAGATGTTCATGTCTGGCTGGTGAGAAACTCAGAAATTCATGGTAATTTTCTGAATGTGCTGCTTCAAATAATATGAACCCGTCACTAATCAAATGCTAGGAAGCTCTTCCTTCCTTCTCTACACTCCCCTGTAATTCAGCCTCCCCAAACCCCTCGGCAGATGGCACACGCCACTGAACAAGTGCTTGTAGAAACCCCTTAATCCCAGACCTGCAGATGACCCCTCTCACATTAAGGTTATGCCTTGCCCTGGACCTAATGTGTTGCTTCCTCCCTTCCCTCTCATTTAAGTGTGCTCAGTATCTCCAGTTTACTTCTAAATATGCACATGGAAACACACAGACCAGCCTGCTAGAAAATTAAAGATGCATAGGTTTTCTTAAATTCACTGTTCTTTACTATTAAGAGCAATCCTTTTCGAATTCATCACTGAAGTTGCTAGCACAAGGAATGGATAGATGGTTAGGGCACCCCAAATCCCGTTGCATTTTAGAGCGCTGAGTTTTCAAATAAGTCAGATTTCAAAGAAATGACAGCTCGGTCTGTGTAGGCATTACTTTGTATTCCACATGTAGCTTAAACTTGACTCACAGGGAGAAACTGCCTTGAATTCCCACATTTGCATGCATTTTTATTTTTCAGTAATCTAGTAGTTCATATTAAAAGTTCTCAGTTAATACTGAAAACACCATGCTTTATTTGACTATGCTGCAAAGCAATAAATCCAGAGTAATAAATGCAACCCAAACATCCAAGTTATTTGGCATACTGAAGAACCTAGTTTCATCTCATTTCCTATCTGTTATTTTAACACTGAAACTTTCTGCTTGGAAAGAAAATTATTTTGCTTGCAGTACTTGGAGAATACAACACACTGATTTACTGCATCATTTTAATATTGCACTGGCCTGAACATTCTGCTGAATTGTGTTTCCAACCGAACAGTTATGCCAGGAAGGAAATAATTTTAACTCAGTAATTCTCTGGTCAGTTCTTCAGATTCAATACTGCTCTACAACATCTGCTGACTACTTCAAGTGACACCCAGAAGCTATGAACAAGCAAAGCACAACAGCTCTCCCCACTTTAGGGGGGGTCACACTGTAGCAAAACCTTCATCTGTTACACCAGGACCTTGCATACCAGGGAGACTCTGCTCCCAGCCGCATGGGTCTAAGCTTCCTCAGTCCTGCAGTAATACAGGTAAATAAAACAGCTGAGGTTCTTCCCATTCATGACACAGAAATGGTTAAAGGATCTGCTTAAAAAAGAGATCAGAAGTTGTTACAGCTTTTACGGGCAGAGATTGCAGCTCCTGAGATGAACGCCCCAGTACCCACAGCTTTAGACACAGCAATTTTAAATATTTGATGTGTTAACCCCTAAAAATTGTGTGTATTGATTTTTTCCTTAAATAACAAATTTGGTATTGACCTACTAATTTCAACCAGATGATTCTGTCAAAATTAAGCAAGCATTTGAGCAGGGAACAGGATCAGGACTGCAGGCGGGGGAAGGAAAGTGTGCTATAAGAAAGTGGCAGACCAAAACACTTGTTTAGAGGGTCTCTTACATTAAAGAACATAGCAGTTACTGTTAAATGTTTTAAATATTTCACAATCTGGATTGCTTTGTTTTGATTTCACCTAGTTAGAAGACACAACTGAGGCATAACACAGCCAAAAACAGATTCTTCTGACAAAGCACTCAGGAAGAGATAAGGGTCTGAAATTGTCATTATCAGCATAATGGTACTCAAAAATGGTACCTTCCATTTTCTTTACTCTCTAAGATTACCAAAGAGAACAATAAGATTATAAATTTTAAATAATTATTCTTAAAGAATGTACCAATCTTTTATCTAAAAGTAAAGCAAGACTAACCCTGTTCCAAAGTCAGATTTAAACTAACTTTCAATACGACTCTGGTGTACAGACTCTTTTGAGCCCTGAGCCTACAACTTACTGCTCTGCCCAAAACATGCAACCTCTCTTGTGTACACAGACTTAACATCCTGTATGAATTTGCAAGATGCCTGCTACAAACATCAACCAAACTGAGCAAGAATTTTAATCTGTCCACTTCCTTCTTTCCAATATGACAATTTATATTAAGTAGTTTGGGGAGATCTGGCAAGACTGTTTAAAAACACAACTTTTCCTCCCACTTGATTCACACGGGGAACTTTAAAATTGTTGAGTTCTCTGCAGATTTTGCTACACAGCACCTCGGTGCTTCTTTCTAACACCAGAACATAGTCTTGAAAGCCAGCGAGCAACTCTAACACAATGTCACCGAACAAGGCGCCTCGAATACCTGCCTGCAATCCCTCTGCAAGCACTGAAGAGCCACTAGCAAGCGCAGGCAGGGTGGCTGCTTTTACTGGTGTTGAAGAAAACCAAGGTTTCTTCCCAGGGAAGGAGGCAACCTCCACCAGCGACACCAGCCCGCTATGGTGCAAGCCATCCTTCCCGACAGAGCTCCTTCCTTGGCCACACAGCCCGGGGTTGGGACTCACCGCGAAGACGGCGTTCTGCACCCCGAAGGGGATGGGTGTCAGTCGCGCCAGAGCCACCACCTTGAGACCGCTGCCACCCTCCACGACGCGGACGACGGCGCTGAGCGTCTCGCTGCCCTGGAGCTGCCCGGGTTCCTGCCCCGCCCCCAGCGGGCCAGCAGCCGCTTGCAGGCCACATGGGCGACGAAGGTGCCGACGAGGACGCCGAGCACCATCAGCCCCATGCCCAGCACGAAGCCGTAGAGGTA